GGTGCGCATACAACCTTTTAACCAGTATTGAGAACATTGTTTCCTTTATAGTTTCCAGGTTCTCTCGAATTTCCTTTCTTAGAAATGGGGGTAATGTCTGCAGTTAACCAGGATTGTGGAATTCTTCCAATTTTCCTGCACCTGTTCAAGAAATGTAATAACCCAAGTTTAAACAAAAAACTACTTTACTTAAGTAATTCTGCATTCAACACCTCCATTCCTGGTGCTTTTCTATTCTTCATTTTTGTGATGTTCCCATTTCGTTGTTACTGAACTCAACAATACCATCCATTATCTTAAATTAGGTATAAATCTCATTCAAATTATAGCACAATTCTAAATAATGTTGTACTCATTTATCTTCTTCAATTGTATTAATTCTGGCAGTATCTCTTGGCTGTTCAAGTTGCGGGGACATTCGTGGGCAAAGTCTTGTCGTCCATAATTATCTTGTTCCGCTCTCCTTATTAAGTTTTCTCATCTTTTTCTGTGAGAATACGTGATAAGAATTTTGGCACTGTTACATTTTCCTTTATATGTTTCTCAACTTTCTTCTGTTTTTTTCTGAAGCCATTTCTTATAGACAGTTTTCTCGTCTGTTAACGCTTTATTTATGTTTTCATTCCATATTCTAAGTCCCATCCTTTTTCTATAGATCTTTTATTTACCCAAGGCTTCATTTCCAGCATGTTCAAGACAAGTGTTAATGTTGTTTCCGTAGGCTTTCGCGGCCGGAGTTTGTATTATCTAGGCTATCCAGGACGAGCCGCGTCACTGATATGGTGGCTAACGTTTCGGCCAGCGTATTGTGGCTTCAAAATGTCTTAATTTTTTAAAATTACAAATCAGTTTTTTGTGTGTATTCCTACACCTATACTATTGTAGATACAACTTTTTTTGAAATTACATATACATACATATGTGAGTTCCAACCAGTCACAACAATGTAGTAGGCTGAAAGTGGCACCGAGCGCAGCACATGTGACCTTCCACCCGGTGTTGCCAATCCTGACAAGATTTCCTCCCGATTATTGCCGCTTGTCTGCATGTTTCGTGACTTAGCACACATCAGACTATCTTAGAAAGGAATCTCGGATTACCACAATTCTACTGAAGTAAATTACGTAAAGTAATTTTGTGGGTTCTTGATACCGAAAAATCGATTGGCAGCAAAACGTCCATCTGTGGTCAAAACTAGTACCTAAACCAGTCAGCCTATTTTCTCCAAAATTGATATTCCCTGATCGATCTGCATGAACTCGAGGCTTTGGGAGTTTCAAATGGATTTTTAGATTTTTAAGGGTACTTTACATCGAGCCTCGAAAACATTTTCAAAATTTTCTCAAAAATGACACCAAATGTTTTATTTAACTTTGTCCTTGAATATCAGGACACGTAAGATAATGGTCCAGCTCCCATCTTCCTTGAAATCCCAGTTTTTTTAAAAATTGCAAAAGTGCAATTTTTTGGGGGCGTGTTCCTACAACTATAATTTTAAAGACACAAGTATTTTCTTCATGAAATCTGTTCTAAATAATTAGATCATTAAATAAGGCCATGCACAATTTAAAAAAATATAGTTTTTGCATGTTTTTTGGATGAAATATAGAAAATTATTTTCTCAAAAACAACTCCAAATTTTTTCTTTAAATTTTTCCTTGGACATAGGGAAAGATGGATAAAAAAGGGTGCTGGGCTCAGTTTTAGTTTTAGAGATCCCCAAAACGGTTTACAACTTTTTCTTTAAATTTGTTCCACAGATGGAGCAAAGGGCACTTAAAATCCGTAAGTTAGAAATAATAAGAGAAACCACTAATTTTTTAAGCATCCGGAAAGTTTATTTTGCTTTGTGATATCTGGTAGTGTAGCAGAAACACAACTGGCATTTAACTCAATAGACCTAAGTTTGAATCGTGCTGCAGAGAAAAAATAATGATTGGATTGCTGATTGGAAACATTTTGGCGAGGTCATGTAGTAGTATATATAATATTGCATAGCTACTAAATAATGCAAGAAAATATATAGTTGTAGCACCACGAGTTTAAATATGATTAATGATAGAAAATGTCCAATCTCTTAGATTTATTCAAGAGATCAGATAGTGTTAAGAAATTTAAAAATCTTATTGTAAAAGTTTTTGATGAGTATTTTATGTTTGCTGTTAATGCTACCACTACCTGTTGCTAGGGTTAAGAACCACTGCTTTATATATAATGGGATATGTGTTTGTAATTACATTTTTGTTTATTTCATCTTCATTTGTTATTAACATTTCTTTAATATTTCAGTCAGATATCTTTTTTATTACAATGATATCTGTTGTGTCTTTTCTTTACTATTTAAATGCGTTATAATTTTATACCCTAATTCTACTAAAAGCCCTGGACACTAACATGGTGAAATCAGTTAGTGGTGAGCATTTATGAGTGCTCATGACATTTGCTATTTTGATGAACTGACCCCATACTCTATCACATTGTTGAATTTGTTAAAAGCCTTTCCATTGCAGTCACCATGACTACCAATCACACATCTACTGAAAGCAATAATAGCTTAGTTTCTGAGATTGTATTTCATAAAACAGGTTTTTTATTTTGCACACTTCCGTATAAAGTTCAATGTTATGTCCTGTTTAATAACACTGAACTTTTTGTACCTAATAGGCTGATATATTGAGAAAACAGGATGATTTGATGGGTTGTATAATCACCCTAACCTGAGTTGTTAAAATCACTAAAGGTGGCCTAACTGAGCCAAGTCAAGATCTATTTAGGGCATTGGAGTTTGTACTTATTATTCACATTTCTTCACCATCCTCACATCTCCTATAAATCATAAAGTTAAACAATGGTTAGTTGCAATAATGAGATAACTATGAGTAGTTCCTACTATTGAATACAAGAACAAAAAAAATCCTGAAATTTGAAACCTTTCATAATAACTGTCATTTTTACAGTCAGATTAGTTACAATGAAAATTGTTAAAATACAAAATAATTTTTCAACCTTGAATTTGTAATCCCAAAACTTTAGGATACACAATTTCAATTCAAGATATTGGAAACAAGCCTTACATTCAAAAATTTTCAAAAATCATGTTTTTCTATGTTAAATTCCAATCCATAGTTGGCACAGAATGCTAGAAAGTAGCATGAGTTTGAAATGTAGCAATTAGGAATTTGAATTTAAAGACGTTTAAATCTTAGTTTTATCAATCAGAATGGCAGAGAATAATGAAGGAAAATGTACACACAAGAAACTTCTGCACACAATTCTACTTTCTTACAGAAATAGAAATATTTATGATGAGTCATCATTGATAACAGTTAATAGAAAATTCTAATTTAGAGAAAACTTACCATCAGTTCTCAGATAATCATTCATTATCTGAAAAAGAGGAAAAGAATCCCAAGTATCGGGAGGTTGCTCAGCCAATACTTGGTCCATATCCACGGCAAACAGAGACCAAAATATTTCTGCATGTTCTACAAGAAGGTCACTGAACCAAGCAAATGCCTGAAAACAGGAGAGAGAACTGTAGTTCACATTCATTTCTCAGCTCCTTTGTTCATTTTAAACAAAGATATAATGCAGAGAACCTAGTAAGAATCTAAAAGAACATGCATATAAACAATATGATGGAAATAATAGGAATAATATACATAGCACCTCATATAAAAAGTTTTTTTTTCTTGTCTGCAGTAAAAAAATACATTTTTTAATAGACATACAAATTAAAATGAATATGATAATGTTGTCTACCAATACAATTCAAAATGTGAATAAAATGTATTAGCTACCTTGCTTTGTACTTCAATAGTTTTACATATTCATAAATGTAAACACAACTACCAATAAATAGTTGAAAACTTGGTGAATGTAAGAGAACAACAGAAGTAGCATGCTAATACATTACATTTCACAAATGTGACTTCATTTTGTTTCTCCCAAGCAATTGTATTGACTAATATGTGAACAGGTTCTCAGGCAAATTAATTTTGAAAGACAAATTACATCTGAAGAAGTCATCAGTTAAAAAGAGTGTTGTTCTTCATTGAATCTAATAATAATGTTGACCTGGCCATGCATGCTGCTTTTTATCAATACTCTAAAATATGTTTAATTGCAGCTGTTTCTATAAAATAAGATTTTGTTATCTAATTTTGTATGTTATCAAAGTTATGTAAAATACTTCAGTTGTACAAAATCCCTATTTCAGAAATACATAAATGTAATTTCACAAGTTAAACTCAGTAAATTGTTTTCTCAAGACATGCCTTTTCATGCATATCTTCATAATAAAATTTTTCTTTAGCAAATATAGACGTATTTCATGCAAATTTGAGCTATGATCTGAAAGATATAAATAACTAATCTTCCATTAGTGATCCCTTTCATAATGATCTAATCATCTCAAAATAATGTAATCTACCATTTTTTGCAGTGCATTAAATGAGAAATATAACAAAAAGTTGTTTAAGGTTATGGAACTGCTTAATTTTAATTTCAGTATCACAAGGATACAAAATTACAGTGTAACGTGCAGAACCAAAGATATGAAAATGCTAATAAAATAGAAAATAGTGAGCTATAAACCCCTAGAAAACATTTGTCAAGACAACATACGGCAGCCAGTTGCAAATTACATAATTATTTTTATAGTACATATGCATGTTAACTAATTTAATTGCAATTTACAATCAAAACAAGTGTAATTATATTTAGAATTACATATGATGACAATTTATTATTTTGACTTAGGCTGATGTCGTGATTAATTTTCAGTATACGGCACAATTGGTACATTGTGAAAGCAAAATGTTATATTTTCACTGTTATATTTTCACAATAAAATTTAAATGAAATAATTTGAATGTTGAATTATATGAATAACTTCTAATTAACAATTGTTAATATAATCTATTATTATCTATTAAGTGAATAAGTAATACAAAAAAAAAAAAATTTGTTGAACTTTCAGTTCTTATTCCTTCCTATATGAATTTCACCTAATAACTAAAATAAAGTTATTCTGGAGATATTTAAATACATGGGGCACAATATATTACTTAAAATGTATGTTTGCATTACTTAACAATCTGTTACAAAAAAACAACAACTTTTGATTGAACTGTTTAGCTGAGAACCCCTTGCATTAAAATGGGACTATATGCAACTTGTCTTTTACTACTACAACTACTTTTTGTCTTTAAGTAGTATGTACTAATACATGTTAACCAAGATACGTTATAAATATTACAAATATTTCTGATGAATATTTTTTGTGCAAATGTAAATTTTGACTGTAACTATATGCAACTTGTCTTTTACTATTACTACTAGTTCTACTATTACTACTACTGCTACTACTACTGCTACCACTACAATTTTTTGTCTTTTAGTAGTATGTACTAATACATGTCAAGCAAGATACGTTAATTGTTTTTGAAAAAAAATATACTTATTCATACTAAAATTGAAGAACTGAAAGTTACAAGTAAAGGATCAAAATCAACCACTTTGAAACATATAGAAATGATTTGGCAAGTTCATTACTTTTCATTTAATAATATCAGCCCAATTCATTACTTTTTTTTGTTGTTTCTTTTTGTTTTTGTTTTTTGTTTTGTGCAATTTTAGTGTTGTCAAAATGATATCACTTTCATTCCTTATAATAAAAACATATATTTTTTTATGTGAAATTTGTTAGCTTATTTGTTAACAAGAATCATGGAAAAAAACTTTCTTCATGGTCAAACAGCAAAAAATACAGTGAATGTGGCAACACATATAAACATGCCTATATGTTTAAAAATCAATTATAGCCTGTTACAAAATTAAATAAAATACAAATGTGTATATATATATTGAGTTATTGTGCACACACCCATTTCTCACATGCAGTGAGTATAATGAAGAAGGTGCCACTAAAAAATGTTCTTGCCAAAAGATTTTGAGGGTCATTATGATGTAATTTATAAAATGCTTGGTAAAATAACATTCTATAAGTATTGAATTTCTTTTTATCTCAGAATTTAATTTTAGTATTTGCAGAACAGAATTTCTCCCGTAGTTAAAAAATCTAAAAGCCTATCAGAAAGTAAAATAACACTTAACAGAAAAGATAAATAAAATCCTTGCATACTGTTCAATAACAAAACTTGCTAACTTGTAGTTAAATAAATATGGACCTATTTAAATTTATAGACAGTCAAATTATTGTGGGTAAGAAATTAGGAAAATCAGGTAAAATATTTTCTTTAATACCACAGCTGTGCTTGGTATGCTATGTGTGTAAACTAAGCAATAGAAATTTATATAAAATTATACAAAAATAATAACATATAAAGACAAATTAGAACACAAACTTAATACTATTGATGTGAGCACCATCTTTTTCTATCATAATGTTCAAATAAAACAAACTGTATTTATGCAATTATATGTAACTTTGCATGTTTTTATATACCTGATGATGGGAACAAGACATGTTCACAAATCAATGTGATATTAAAGAAGACATTTTACCTGATTTTCCCAATTTGTTACCCACAATAATTTGACTGCCTATAAATATATATTGGACCATATTTATAGAATTAAATTTAAATAATAAGACAGTCATAACATAGTAATTGCTAACTTGTACTGCATAAATGTTTAATATAAGGTAAGTGCTGAAAAATAGTTATCTAAGGTTTTCAAATTTGAAATTTCACATTAAAAAATCAAGGAACTGTGGATTTAATCTAAAATTCATACTCAAGTACATCTCAAAATAAGTAGTTGATGTATTAATATTAAAACTGATATAATAATTTCCATTTTATATAAAAGGATAAAATGAAATAAAAATAAAATAAAAATATGAATATTTTTATTGTTTTTTATTGATCAGCAGTTTTATACAGATAATTTGTGATATATACCTCAATATCACTAAATGCGCATTTTGACAGAAATTTCTGTGTAGCCACTCACTATACATAAAGAAAACACATGGAATCTACACAAGACAAGCAAGCAAAACTTGCTCTCAAAACCAATTCTAAGAGAATGTTACTGATGTAAATAGTGCATCATTTATCACCTTGTTTCTAGTAAATTAACTGTTGGTGCACAGGATATAATGCATTATACAAGCGCAAATATATTACATGCACTAAATTCAGTTGTTAGAATTACTGATCTCCATATTATACCATACAGATTCTGGCATTCATTTACACAGTAGCATGCAAATGTGAACAGGAACAGCAACCTTTATACATGCACAGGAAAGTGGCAAAACATAAATGTAAGATGCAGTTTTGGTAAATTTTAATGTAAACTTGCAAGATTAATTATCTAAATAGTAAATTCAGTGTGTGTATATTATTGCACATAAATGAAAATAATCTGTAAGAATCTGAAGCAAGTTGCAGACAGAAACTGGCTTTTTACTTCTATTTACCTGAAGATGTTTCGGAAATCACATCTACATGATCTGTTTTTGTGGTGTAGAAAATTATCTTGAAAATAATTGATATCTAATTTTAGGCTGCTTTCTCATTTAAAACTGAGGATTTAACAAAAACTGAATTCAATATTACTAGGGTATTTAATGTGTGAGGCACCACAACATAGGAACAATTGCAATCAGTAGATTATTATTTGTGAAATATTAATCACAAATATTTCTTATGCATTAACTGGTTCCTTGGGTGGTTCCAGTTGGTAGGTGGAAAGGTTAGGATCAATGTACTTTATGCCTGTTTATAATACCTATTTGGAAGCAAACACTCAAAATTGTAACAGCCATAAAGCTTTACATCATTTTCGAACAGTAAGTCACTTAAGTTTATTTTCTTATCTTTTTAAAAAACAAGTCCAAAATTGCATGCATTGACAAATATGAATGCTAATATGCATTGCATATTTGCATGCATTGGCTTACTGAAACTCTAAAGAACAGAGAAGAAAAAACCTATCTTTTAAGTTAAAAGGGGAAGAAGTGTACTACTGTTTCCCTCTAATCATTTTATTTTATTGCAATGAAAAGATAAACTTCTTTATAACTTTTCTTTAAAAGTGAAAATAAAGTAAAAGAACTTCATTAAATTGTGACAATTGAAAGAATTCATGAAAGTAGATAAACTATTGAATACAGTATTTATGTGGTTAAAAATAGCAAATGTAATTCTTTGTAATTAATTTGCATTTTTCCAAAATTTGGAAAGGTCAGTTTCAGATTCTTTGTACCATGTTAAGTCAAATACAGGAATTTTAATTGTCCTAATATCCATTGGTGTGTGTGTGTGTGTGCATGAAATTATTAGGGACCAGATTTCAATGTAAATGCATATTTTTTCCTCTGCAGTCAGAAAGTGTGCTCCTTAGTGTGTATACAAAACAAATAATTTCACTTCCAGTTATTAAAACATGGTTTTTTGGTGAATATAAAGCATATATTGTAATTTTTCTTAAAAAGCATCATACTTCAAATTGCTCATTCTTCTTTTTTTCCTCTCCTTTATTGTTACACACATCTATTTCCATTATTTTAAGCTGTAAATTTAATTTTAAATATTGTAAAATGTGTTTGTATTTATGAGATTCATTGTAACTAATAATAATTTTCTGTTTCTAAGTTATATAAGATATTGCACTGGGAAACTATGATAATTTTTGGTAATATATGTTGTCAAGTCCAACTTGAAAGTTGATAATGCTATTAAACTTTTGCATGCGACTTGTCATGACTACAATCCAACATGTCACAATGGGGATGCCACCAAATAATATAACAGTAAAAATTGTCTTTTGATTCACTCGCAACAGGATGTGAAAATATAATAAGATATTATATAAGCATATTCTATTAAATTATATGTTCTGACAATAGTATTTGAAGCTGATGATCAATGAAAAGATTAGATTTAGTGTGAAACATACTGAAATTGTAAAATAGCTATAATACTTTTCGTTCTCTAAAATTGAAAGTCAATCAAATGACAAACATTTGTAATCATTGAATGACTTGTTTTAAAATATTAAAAACTTTTACAAATCCTTAAAACAGTACACAACTACTCTTGCTTAGTTTAATTTTTTAGAACAATAAATTAAATGCTCTAAATAAAGAATAAATAAATAAATAAAGGAATATGTTGAAAAAATGTCTAGTATCCAAACATAAAAACAGCATAATAAATATTTAGTCAGATATGACATTGAAAATTCATGGAATGGTGAATGTATTTAACAAGAAATGAAGTTATATTATTATTACTACTATTATTACTATTATTACTATTATTACTATTATTACTATTATTACTATTATTACTATTATTATTTATATTTATATTTCAATGAATGAATGAAATGCCAATAAATTGTTGTATTGTATTCTTTGATATGTTCAGGATAAGTGTTTTAACATTACAGCTACAATTATTACTTTGGGATTAAGTAAAAATTGGAACTGTAATACATTGTGAGTCGTATTTAGACGATACAGTATTACAATTTCCTACAGCATTTATGAAAATGATGCATAGCACATGCATATACACTGAATTATGTGTGCATAAACATGCACACACACACAAACACACACAAACGTTCACATCAATTTCATTTTACTTGTTAAACTGAAATATTTGAAGGAAGCTACACCACTGCATTGTTAAAAAACATCAATAAAGCATTTATAAAAAATTTTCAAGTATACAATAAACTATGGGCAATATGTTTGAAAAAGATGTTCACTAGATGTGTCTTTTGAGGAAAAATGTAGTACACTGTTATAATGATGATAATAATGATAATATACTAAAACTTTGGAGGCTTTATGATGTAAAGAATAGTTTTTAAAATGTGCTCAAAAACTCATAATTAACAGGAAGTGAATCTATATTGGAGTAATGCATAATGAAAAAAGTGTATATAAAGATTATTTAGGGGAGACCAGGGCTGTGGTTAGCTATTTTTAATAACAATTTTTACAAATAAATAAAAAAAGAAGTTCCATCAATCTTTACAATGATATCTGCACTATGTTAAGAACCTGAACATATACTACATTATCAGTAATTTAACCAAAATGCAAGAAAAAAGTGCAAATATTGAGATTTCAATATGTTTAGGGTAAAGAAGTCATTTCATGAACTTTATACTTCTTATGGAATATTTGAATAACTATGATGCTGCAAATCAATATAATGCTACAACAGCACATTCTTTCTTGCCTTATTTTTTACTTTAGCAATTTTCAAAACTTCAGAGAGTTCAACAAACAAGAGACTCTCACCATTTTTAAGTGTATTTTGCTCTATCTAAGGGGGGAAAATTAAATAAAAAAGTTGGAGCCATTTTTAAGAACGTATTTCTCTTAATTGTCTGTATTCAAACATAAATTACGTGAAAAGTATTAATTACCACTCCATTTTTGTGTTTTAAGAATTAATTTGTTTTCATTAATTAGTCTCATTTTTACTTCCTTGCATACTACTAATGTTTTATAGAGTATTTTATATTTATATGTTTTACTGTAATGCTGCAGTAAAAAAGTGCCATTTTCTTGAGAAAAAACTAATTCCATAAGTTTTTTCTTATATCTTCATGTGATAAATTACTTTTGTGAATACATAGTGTAGTCAGACTCCACATTTTGTGGGTCCTTCATGTGGTGATGTGAGTTCTGGCATTCTGTTTGTGAACAACACCAGCACCAAAACTGTCAACAGAATTTTCACCACATTTGATATTCCCTTATAAATATAGCTGATGTTGTAGCCTCTTGAATTTGAAATGAATGTTTTAATTTTTGGGAGTAGTTTACAGTAATTCCCTACATTTTAAAAATTAGCTAAAACATGATTCAAACATTTTTTTTTGTAAATCATTTTGCTCAAAGAGAGCAATGTATGCTTAAAAATGATGCAGGTCCAATTTTCATTGAAACCTCTGAATTTTAGAAAATTGTCAAAGTCAAAACATTTTTCGACACCTGCCACCAACTACATTTTCAATAATATTTTTCGTAATGAAAGCTTTTAAAATGAGATCTCTAAATAATGTCAGGTACATTTTTTCACAGTAAGAGTTGTTTGCAAAATTGTGTGTGAAGTAAAGACAATTTACAAAAAAAGGTAAACAAGATTTTTTTGAAAATGCCTCCAAATGTTTCTTGAAACTTTTTGCTCATTTAGTATAAAATTTGCTTAATAAGAAGGCATATGTTCTATTTTCATTACACATCATGGAATTTTGAAAATTTGCAATAGTTTAACACTTTGAATGTTTTCTACACCTTCAATAATGAAGCTAGAGATATTTTATAAATGCAAAATATTCCTCAATATTAGATCTGCAATTTTACGTCTTTGTCTTTGAAAATATTAGTAATTTTCTTGAAATTTATAAGATAAAATATATAGTATCATATGTCAATTGTGAGTATATTATAAATAGATATGGGCTTTTTAGACAAATTACTATTTTTCCCTTTCTCGAAATTCATAATATACTGATTCTATAACCTTTTGATATTAGAGGAACCATAATTTATACTGCAAGAAATGCATACTACCTCAGTGTTAGAGCCGAAAAATGCCTGAAAAAAGATCCTAAAAATGCTAATTTAGACATCTAAATTGAGAAATTTTAGTGACTAAAATTTCCTTTCATAAAAAACATACATAGCACATCATATCCTGACATAGCCTTCCTAGAGCTCTCAGTTAGCAGCACATGGGATTGTCACCTGCAGCACTTGGATTCAAGCCCAGTCTGAGCAAATATTTTTGGAATTAAAGAACAAAAACTTTTGTAGAATAGAATTTAATGCACTGTAGGCAATGGTCAATGGCAAAAAGCCATTTTCATTTAAACTTTCAAAATATAAAGATACCTATTTTTTTTAAACTCTGCTGTTCCATTTGGTTAGAAGTTTTTAAAGTGATGGCTAATGTGTTAGTAGATTATTATAATGCATAACCATTTTAAAAACGTATGTGCTGTTGTAGTGAATCTAGTTCTGATTCTTTCTAGTCACTTCACTCTTAATAATATCTCATCCATATTCTATTTGAAATATTTTTTGCACAGTAACATCTGAGTGTAAAAATGATTATTTTGGACAAACATTCTGCCTGTCCTCATTCCTGCTCCTCACTGCCCATCCTCATTACTCATTTTACTGTCCATCCTCATTGTCTGTTCTCACCACAGAGCACTACTCATTTCCCTGCTACCTTTGTGTGTCTGCTATACCTTCACATTAGTCATCCCTTCATTTGATGACAAACAATTCATACTATAAGTCTTTTAAAAAAGGTATAGAAA